CAATCGAATTTCAGTTTGAGTGCAGCATCACACGAATTTTTAGATTTGGCTATTCAGGTTAATTTTTTCTTTGTTTTTTTTTTCATCCTCTTCCTCCTCCTCCTCCTTTTTTAACTTGTTATGAATCACACATTGAATTTTTTTTTTGACCTTCCTCCTCTTCTTCTTCTTCTTCTTTTTAACTTTATGAATCACACATTGATTTTTTTTTTTGGACTATTTTGTATTACTTTTTACTTGATCTTTTAATATAATTAATGTCAAAACATTGTTGTATTTGAGTAAAAAACAAAAAATCCGAATAATACATTACTGTTAGCTATTTAGTATTTAGATAAAGTTTTCATAAAAAAATGAATTGATATACAAGTTGAACAGTTTTATTTGTAGCCTGAATGAAATTTTAATTTGAGTACGACATCACACAGATTTTCAGTTTTTTTTGGCCATTCAGGTTCATTTCTTCCTTTTTTATTTTATTTTACATATCATGAATCTCACATTGATTTATTTATTTATTTGTTTTTTAACTATTCTTTATTGCTATTTAGGATAAATTATGCAAATGATCCTTGTCATTTACACGATGTGTCAATTTAGTCCCTATTGTTTCAATTTGCTCGATTTTGTTCCTTAATTTAACGGATTGTATCATTTTAGTCCAATAAATAACGGTTGTTAAGTTAATTTAACGGAAAGTCAAACAAAATGTTAATTTGGTCCTTGTATTTTACACAATGTGTCAATTTGATTCTTGTTAATTAAGGGGCAAAATCGAGCAAATTGAAACAACATGGACTAAATTGACACATCGTGTAAACTACAGAGACTATTTGCATAATTTTCCCTACTATTTACTTTATTTTTAATGGAATTAATATCAATCACATATTGATGTATTTGGGATAAAAAAGAAATTTGATTTTGAGTACTTTGTATTATTGTTTGCTTTATCTTTTAACATAAATAATGTCAAACACTGATGTATGTAGTTTAATGTTAAAACATTGATGTATAGTTTAATATTCTCACAGATTTATGTCAAAAATTGCATCAAAACAATTTGAATAGATTCTTGAACCGAACTGATGGTTTTGGACCGTATGACTCCATGTCAAAATGTAAGTTTCTAATTTTGAATTTTTGTTAAAAAAATATTTATTGATATTTACATTCATTGACCTCATAGATAACACAATCAGCCAATTACAAAAGCAAAAAACTAAAGCTAATCTCCCGGAATGGGATTCTGGTAAATTACGAGAGTTGGTTGGACGTGAGGAAGCTTGCTTTATCATGACCATTCCCGTTCCCGCAGTTAACCAAGATGACTCTCTAGTTTGGCACCACACCAAAACTAGAAATTTCAAAGTCAGAAGTGGATACCAGGTCCTTCGGCAGGATCCTCAGTCAAGGGCAGCCTTTGGGGCTTCTACTTCAATTCAGTCCACTGAAAAATTTTGGAATCTAATTTGGTCTCTTCCAATGCCTCCAAAAGTCTGAAATTTCTGGTGGAGGGTGTGTACTAACAGTTTAGCTACTAAAGAAAATCTTCATCACTGGCATTGTGCTCCTTCCCCTGCTTGTCCTATCTGTGGTTCATGTCCGGAGTCTATTGAACACCTTCTTTTTCAGTGTAATTGAACTAGGCCTGTATGGTTTGGGTGTGATCTCGGCTACTAATTGGGGTTCAATTCTTCCTCTTCTGCAACACAGTGGACTCAGGCAGTTCTCAAGAGTTGTCATAATGATCGGGATCGCAAAGAGAGTTTGGGCAAGGCTGCCACGGTTGGGTGAAGCCTTTGGAAGGCTCGTAATGAGTGGATTTTCAATCAATCGGAAGTGGACCCGATGCAGGTTATCAGACAGGCCTCCTTTCTCTGGAGGGAAGGCTGTTCGGTGGTCGCTTTGGCAGATTCTTCTCCTGTATCTGTTATTTCAGCAGTCGAGAATTGTAACAGATGGACTCTACCTCCTCACGGTATGTATAAAGCGAATTGTGATGCTAGCTTTGCCTCCAAAGCCAAGAAGACTTCCTTGGCAGTGATCTTGCGGGATTGGACAGGTCAATTTATAGATGGTGTTGTCTCCACAGTCCACACATCTTCAGTCACTCAAGGCGAAGCTCGCGCCATCCGGTTAGCGTGTATGTTTCTCCAGGCTCTTGGACTCTCAAATGTCCAGGTGGAAAGTGATTGCAAATCAGTTATTGACTTATGTGTCTCTGAACTGGTTCCTCCATGGGAGTGCGTTGCATACGTATCTGACATTCGGCCCATGGGCCAAGCTTCCTCCTTTTCTTTCTCATGGGTGCCTAGAGCAGCTAATTCTGTGGCCCATTGGCTTGCCTCCTCAAAATTGCAGGATGTTCTCCCTTTAGATTGGATTAGGAATCCCCCTCTGTATTTGAGGAACTTGCTTTTATCTGATTCTCTTGTTGCTTGAGAGCCTTTCTAGTTCCAAAAAAAAAAAATCTCTTTATATCTTTTTCCCATTTGAATGACGTAAATTCCTATCTTAATTTTTGCACAGCAAATCAAACAATACTGATTTGTTCTGTATCTTATATATTTTTCTTGCAAGATTTGCAATTATATTCATAGCGTTATGTCGATAAAAATAGATTTTCTATGGAATCATCATATATAATTTCTTTTTTTAATATATATTTGATTGAAGTTATTGTTAATCTTACTCTTTTATTTTTGGAAAATGTTTGGTATCTCAAAATTTTGTGGCTCAAATCTGTCAAAACGGCGTCGTTTTATACTCAAAATCTGTCAAAACAACGTCGTTTTGAGTGATTTGAGCCATTTGAGCCACAAAATTTTGAGTTACCTAACATTGTTGTTTATTTTTTTTTATATATATTTCTCATAGGAATAAGCACCCCTCCATATCCCATTTCTCGATATCTCTTTATATATTTTTTTTAGGCTTCAATCTGGATTCACACCCATGATGTTTCTATATTTATAGTTATTGAATGAAATTAATTTTTTATATGAATAACTTTAAATACGAGATTTACGAAATGGTAGTACTACACGCACCAATTAATGTACTAACTAGTGTATCAATACTATTTATAATATTATTATTGACCCCATTCATTAATCACATTATAAATTTCAAAAACCTCTTAAATTATGTCATATTATTAATTGGTACACTAGTTAATACACCAATTGATACATATAACATTATTCTTTACCAAATAGACAATTCGAATTATCAATTTAAATTAAAATAACAAAATATATATATATATATATAAAGAGATATAAAGAGAGAGATTTTGAGGGGAGCTTACCCCTTGCAATATTATTTTGACAAGTTTTTTCTTGTTGCACGCTAGGGGTTTATGTACAAATGTTTTTCTTAAGCGTGCAACTTACGCCTTCCATTTACGCTTTTTCTGTTGCTGTCCTGTTTAATGTTTATATCTTCCATTTACGCCTTTTGTGTTAGTGGCATATGGTGTGCAACCTTAAAGGGTTGCACACCATAACAGGACCCTAATTATAAATGCAATGACGTTCACACTTCAACCTATACATTGACTTTTTAATTTTTGTTTTTTTTATTTGGGATTAAAAGCTTGTTTGGGTTGAGTTTTTTAACTTTTTAAATTTTTATGAGAGAAAAAATAAAATAATTATGATTCGAATGTGATATTTTATTTTATTAATTTTTTAGTTTATTTTATCTTTTTATGACTATTTTAATCTTATAATTTCATGCCAAACGAGGGCATATGCCTTCTTTGGCAATTAGTTAAAAGTCAATTTATTAAGTTTTTGGCTTTTTTAAGTCAAATTATCTTTTTATCTTTTTGTACATTTTTAATTTTTTTTTAAAAAAAAAAAGTCAAAAAAACAAAATTTTAACATATTTTCCAAAATTGGCCATAAAATCCCCCAAGTTATAATTGGTATATTAATTAATGTATCAACATATATTATATAACATTGTCATTTCAAAATTATAAGTCTCACCCATTATATAAATTATAAAGATTTAAATTTTTTTAAAATTATATCACATCATTCATTGATACACTAATTAATATCAATTCATGCGAATAACTTTATTAAAAAAAATAATAATATAACGTTTGGAGTACACTATGCCTTTGTTTGGGATGTGGATTGATTTTTTGGCTATTTTAGCTAGGGGTTAAAAAGTTTCTTTTTCCAGTTTTAAAACTAAGAACATTATCAATTTTTTCATTTTTAAAGTTTTTTTTTTTTGGCACATCAATGCTCCATCACCATGCTCCTTCATACACAAAATTTTCAGTTTTTAACAAAAAAATAATTCATTTTTTTTTTTAAAAAAAATAGTTTTGTTTTTTTTGCACATAATTTTTTTATTTTTTATTTTTATAGTTTTTCATTTTGAAAGTTGATATTTTAAAGGTTTGAAAATTAAAATAAATGTCAAATTATCGTGATCTCTTATAAATAATCATAAATGACGAACAATCATTGCTTGAAGGGTAATTTTGACTATTAACTATTTAATGGGACTTAAAAATTCAAAAATTTTTAATTAAGATTTAATAGAATATAAGTTCATAAATTAAGACTTGCGTGTAAATGCCTCAATTATTTATTTTACTTGATTTACTTATTAATTTATTTAAAATACGAATTAATCTTTGTAATTAAAAAAATTATAAATACTCTATGTTATAATTTTTTAGTTAATAAAATTCATAACTATTATTTTATATAATAATAGAATTATTTAAATTATTAATTAAAATATATTTTTAATATAGTTAAAAAAATATTAATTAACTTGATGATTAATTAATAAAAGAGACAATTGATTATAAAATTAAAAACATCAAAGATAAAATGTAATTTTTAAAATTAAAGAGACAATTCATATTTTATCCAATGTAAAATGAATTTATAATTTATCTTATTATAAAATGACAAAAAAAAAAAAGAAGAAAAAAAAGAAAAGAAAAGTAATATAAAATGCCCAAAGTTCCCACTTCAACTCCTGCAAGACTCTTTCTCTGTGTCAGTAAATCCCCTTCTCTTTATTCAATACACCGCCATGACAACCGCCGGAGATGGCACACATGTCCTGGTATTTCCTTTTCCTGCGCAGGGGCACATGATACCACTTCTTGACCTAACCCATCAACTAGCCTCTCGTGGCCTAACAATCACCATACTCATCACCTCCAAAAACCTCTCTCTTCTAAACCCACTTCTCTCCAAAAATCCTACAATCCAAACTCTCATCTTGCCTTTCCCTGCGCACCCTTCCATCCCCTCCGGCGTAGAGAATGTCAAAGACATGCCCCCAGACGGCTTTCGTGCTATGATTCCCGCCATGGGTGAGCTCTACAATCCTCTCCTAAATTGGTTCCACAACCACCCTTCGCCGCCTGTGGCCATCGTCTCCGACATGTTCTTGGGGTGGACCCACCACCTCGCTTGCCAGCTCAGCATCCGCCGCCTCGTGTTCTCTCCTTCCGGTGCTATGGCCTTGTCTGTTGCTTATTCCATGTGGTGTGACCTACCAAAGAGAGATGATCCCAACGATGACAACGCTCTGATTTCATTCGCAAAAGTGCCGAATTCCCCGATTTACCCTTGGTGGCAGCTCTCTGCCCTGTATCGTTACTACGTTGAAGGAGACCCAGTTTCGGAATTCATCAAAGATGGGTTTGAGTCTAACATGGCGAGTTGGGGACTCGTGTTTAACTCGTTTAGTGAGTTGGAACGGGTTTATCTGGACCATCTAATGGAGGTATTGGGCCATGATCGAGTATGGGCTGTTGGGCCGTTAGTCCCTTCTCCTATTAATGATCAATCTAGCCCAATAGAGAGAGGTGGGTCCAGCTCTGTATTGCCAAGCGATGTGCTGTCTTGGCTCGACACGTGTGAAGATCGCACGGTTGTGTACGTGTGCTTTGGAAGTCAGGCAGTGTTATCAAACAAGCAAATGGAGAAGCTAGCACTGGGGTTGGAGAAAAGTGGGGTTAAGTTTATATGGTGCATCAAGGAGTCAACAAAGGGACACGTGGAGGGACAGTATGGTGTGATTCCATGTGGGTTCAAAGATCGTGCGGCTAAAAGAGGATTTCTGATAAGAGGGTGGGCTCCGCAAGTATTGATATTGAGTCACCGAGCTGTTGGTGCATTCTTGACTCACTGCGGGTGGAACTCGGTGTTGGAGGGAATATTTGCGGGAGTGCCAATGCTAGCTTGGCCCATGGGGGCTGACCAGTTTGCAAATGCTACATTGTTGGTAGATCAACTTAGAGTGGCATCTAGGGCTTGTGAGGGTGCTCAAGCTGTTCCAAACTCGGATGAGTTGTCTCGGTCGTTAACGAAAGCCGTGGGCAAAAACCGGGAAGAAATGGTTCGAGCCATGAAGTTGCGTGATGCAGCATTGGATACCATTAAAGAAGGTGGAAACTCAACCAAAAATGTGGATGAATTAATTAGGAGTCTTACCTAGGGCTATTCATGAGAAGTGTTTTTGATGTCTCAATCAAACCCATTGTCCACATAATAATTCATCTATTCGTAAAAGAAAGGTATCTTTAAATAATTCATCGGACCTCTTGTGTGCAAAGCTTGGTATGATATCTTCAAGATGCTTACGTCTCATATTTATCTTTTTGTATTTTGATAAATAGTATCATATTTTAAATTCTTGACCTATTTGATATCATTTATAAGTTAATTTATTTGATTTATTTTTGAAAAAAATTATTAAAATTAAATAGTGATCTTATAAATTGTTTAATTATATATTCTTTTTTATTTTTTTATTATAGACTCAAAAGTTTCATTCTAGTATGAATTACAGAAAGTCCTTTTTTTTTTTATATATATACTCAAAGGTCCTATTCTAGTATGAATTATATAAAATGCGCGGGATAAACGTGCGTGTGCTATGCGTTGAGAGACAAATGTGAATTTTTTTCATAATGTTGAAATTACTAAATGTAACTGTAAGACTTCAATATTTACCATCTCACCAAAACTCGTAAGTAGTGGTAAAGACGTAACTTTATTATCTTAAAGGGTATAGCGCCAAGTGCCTCAAGTCGACTGTGATTCGGCCTTATCCTGGACTTCCGCCATAGTAGGATGCTAGTCCAAACCCAGGCCAACAATCCCCCTCCGGCACTTGCCCGTAAGCTGTATGCCCTCTAGGAGAATCGAATTTGTGACCTTACTCTGATACCAATTACAGAACCTTTTGCGCTTACCATCTCACCAAAACCCATAAGTAGTGGGGAAGGCGCAACTTTATTCCCTTAAAGAGTATAGCACCAAGCACCACAAGTTGACTGTGACTCGGCCTTACCCTGGGTTTCCTTCACGGCAGGATATTAGCCTAAACCCAAGCCAATAGTAATACTTCAAAAAGACTCTTTAGTGTACTTTTTCGAAACGTAACACTCCAAAAATGTAATACTCCTATAGTACACAAAAAAAACTTCTTAGTGCACTTTTTCAAGCGTAACAACGTAACATTCTAAAAAAATTCCTTAGTATATTACCAAATGTAACACAAAAATTACTTAGTGTGCTTTTTTCAAATGTAACACTCTAATGTAACACAACACACTAAAAAACTCTTTAGTCTATATTTTTCTCAAATGTAATAATGTAACATTCTAAAAAAAATTATTAGTATAGTTTTTCCAAACGAAACACTCCAATCAATGCAACACATGAAAACTCCTCAGTTTATTTTTTCCAAACATATTACTCTAATGTAACACTAAAAAATTATACTAACAAAAATTTACATTTTCACGCTCGACAATTAACATTTTAGCCACCAACCCCTCCCAAAAAGAATCTTTCATACCTCACATTTCTATTCTTATCTCAAAAACGAAATAGAAAATTAAAAAAATGAATCATAAAAGACATTCACTTAAACTCAAATGACACCAAATCAAATAAATATAAATTTTTAAAATAAAAAGATCTAATTAATTCGCAAAAAAAAAACTCTAAAAATTAAATTAGATTAACATTTTCCATATGAAATTTATGGATAAATTTTCCTTTAATTTTTAAACTTTTTCTTGTAGTCAGAGAAATGCCTAATAAAAGAAATTTTTTTTTAGCAAAATTCGTTAATTTGTATTGTTTTAGAAATGATAAATTACATTTTACCCCTATTTGTTTGATTATTTTTTTACTTTGGTTGTTGAATTTTTTTTTCTCTACTTTAACCTTTCATATTTCAATTTTTTTAAAAATATTTTTTTAAAACCAACTTTTATTCAAAATTATAAAAAAAAATGACACATTAGATGACATAAAAAATATATTTTATATTAGAATTTGAGTTTGTATCTAAGGCTTTGAATATCTATGACAACTCCTCTCTCTCTCTCTCATCATCTTTAATTATCAACTAATTATCTCACTTATATATTATTGAGTTTAGAATACATAATTTTATATCATTTTCATAAAAGAATTTTATGCCACGTGATTGTTGATGTATTATTTTTTGTTTAATTTAGGATAAATTGGAAAAAAAAAATGAAACATGAAAGACTAAAGTGAACGAAAAAAAAAGAGAAACTAAAGTGAAATAATATCAAACATAAACTATACAAATGTAAATTGAAAATATACATTTGAATTGGTATTATGTGAATTGCATGGAATAAATGTGAACTATACAATGATAAATTTAAATAAAATTTTAAAATAAAAATTCCGAATTTGTTGGTACTCATTGTCCAAACACATGCGAAAACGGCAAAATGAGATCCACCTCATCATTATTTAATACTGATGAATAAAAAATTCACATAATTAATGACAATTAAAAGTGACATATAAGTCTTTTTATCTTTTATTTTATAATTTAATGTTGTATAAGTGAGATGATTAATTAATAATTATAAAAAAATATTGAAGAGAAGTAACACATGAAAATAATTGCTTGATTGATTATTGGGCTTGGAGGGTGGATATAATTTTTGAGTTTAAATAACACGATTTTTTGGGGGGACAAACTACATCAGTGGTCTTTATATTTTTCTCTTTTTATCATTTTGATACTTTCACTTTTAATTGACTCAATTTTAACTCTAAATTTTAGATTTTGTTTCAATTTGATCAAATTAATAATATCGTTAGTATTTTCAAGGAACATTATCACTAAATTGGTTGAGGTTAATAATTAAATTGAGTAAGTGTAAAATTTTGCCCTTAAAAATATGACATGTGACATTTATGTGCATATTTTTTATAAAACAAAATATTAAAAATTGTAATCAACTGAACCAAATTAAGACAAAATCATAAATTTAAGATCAAAATCGAGCTAATTGAAAGTACAAAGACTAAAACAACACAATGACTAAAGTACAGAAGCTCCGTTTGGAAAGTGGGTTGGCCTTTTAACTTTTTTAGTCTGGACTAAAAAGTCTCGTTTGAGTTGAGTTTTTTGACTTTTATAAAAAAAATAAAATATTTATAATTTGAATATAACATTTTATTTTATTATTTTTAATTTAATTTATTTTTTTTATGATTATTTTAACATTTTAACCTCTCAACTTTGGATGACAAACAAGGGCAGGGACCATCGTCCTAATTTATCTTTCTTTTTCTTTCAATAAACTATAAAATAATAATAATAATTTGTCTTCTTCTTCTTTTCATTTTTTATTTTTTAAACTAGGAAAGTAAACTAAAAAAAAAAAAATTATTTTTTTGCCTTACATAGTTAATACATCAAATTAAATTAGTCAAGCAATAGTGAATCAGTCAACTTCAAAATATTGTTAACAAATACAAAAACCAAAAAACATCACTCCTAGATACAAAAACAACCACAAAACATCACTCATAATTTGACCCTATCCTATTGAACCACCCTCTGACTATCCTTTTTCCTGTCCACCCACGCAGTGCATGGCCAATTCAGTTCCTCACATGACTTCTCCTCCATTCTGAAACCTGACTAAGAATGTCTTGCTATTCTAGAGGTAGCTAACGCATAAGAGTCTGCCCTCCGCTGAGGGGACTGAGGCGGTCGTCTTGGACATTCAATTTTGAATAAAATTTAAGATTTTAAAATAGGAGAGTGTATCATGTCATGCTATTTCATAATTATTTTAATATAAGCTCAATTTATTTATTTTTATGTTGTCGTGTGGTGTTATTTTGATTCGTGTTCGATTGATGTTTAATATGAAAACTTTCACTTTTAGTTAAAAATAACTTAGCAAGTGTATTGAGAGATTAAAATTTTTCTCATAAGTTGAATTTTATAAAATTTATTTCAACTAAATGAAATTATTCATAGAATGTTTGATTTTAATTCAATTGTATTTTTCTAATTAAAACAATTGTACCTTATTACTATATATTTTTTATTAGATTGACTCTAAAATCGGTAATAAAAAAATATATATCTTAAATGAAAAAAAGATATTAGCCTTAATTATTATTTTACATACTTTTTTATTCAATTAGATAAAGTTAAATAAAAGATTAAAAAAATGTCATGGTATCCCTTAGTGAACATTCAAGTATATAACTAATAATTCATGTTATTGAGTTGTGTCAAAATAGTCAACCTTAACTTGCTAATTTTATATATTGCTTGAATTGTGTCGAAAATTCTCATCTTTACCCCCAATTAATTTTTGTTCTTATAGCAATAGTAAGCTAAAAAATAAAGACTCGATTCAACTAATTGAAGTTCAACTATTATATATATATTTGTTATCTAAATTTTGTTAAATTATAATGCAATAGAAATAAATTTTTATCTTTTTTATTTTATCCAAACAATTTTTTTTTTTGGATAATGATATATGAATGGCCTAATTTAAAAAATTCGCCTTAGGCCCCTAAGAAGTCAGGGCCGGCCCTGCACATGGTCGCATTATATATCCATGTCACCATTCGAAAATCCATGTTGTGGTTTAGGTCACGGTAAAGGTTAGCAATGCAAAGGCGAGGTACGTATTCCCGGTCGTTGCTGCGTAGCTGCCAGAACCTCTCCATATATGTAGTAAAATTGTTATATTTTTGTTGCTCAATAGGTGTTTTCAAGAATCGGTCTTATTTTAAAACTAAAAATAATAAAAGAAAAATGCTACCTGATATAATATCCAGTATTGTTTAGTATCGAAATTAAAGTGAAAATTATTTTTAAAATGTTAAAAGATAAAATATATTAAAATTAATAAAATATCCCTTTTGTTTTTAAAATTTTTTAATCTTTTATTCTTGACGACAAGTGCATGGTAGAAAGATCCATGATTAAATTTTTTAAAATTATTCACAAAAGCACGTGTTTACATATATATATATATATATTTAAAAAAATTATTTTTATTTATTTATTTATTTTAAAATTTTTCTTTTCGTCAAGAAGTGCATGTTAAGAAGATTCATTGTTAAAAATTTAAAATTAAAAAAAAAATCTCTAGTAATACTAATAAATTTTAAATAGTGATATTATGAATGACTTAATTATTTTTATTTTATTTTATTTTTTATTTTAGACTCAAAAATCCTATTCTAGTATGGATTATATAAAGTTCTTTTTTTTATTATTATAGACTCAAAGGTCCCATTTTAGTATGAATTATATAAAAGGCCAAGCATAAACACGTGTGTGTTATATGTTGAAAGATAAATGTGAATTT